TAAGAACCGTAACAATTAAGGGAGCTCTGGTGGCCTAGTGGCAAGAAGCTGCACTGCAATCCCAGAGGTGAGCGGTTCAAATCCACCAGATGCTCTGCTGGAGAAGGAGAGATATCTCCTCCTGTACCAGCCTGATCCACTTGATGGTACACACACAAAACCTAATAATAATAATAATAGTAATAACAATTATGTTATTGTGGTGGTGGTGTAGGTGGTGGACTGGAGAGTCAGAACTGACCCATAGCTGACCCTCTGGCGGGTTTTCAGAGGCAATTGCCCACCTTTCTCCCGCAGAGCAGCTGGTGGCCTCGAACTGTGTGCCTTCGGGATTGCAGTGCAGTTTCTTGCCTCGAGGCCACCAGAGCTCCCCAGTCACCGTTACACAGTGCCATTGTTGACGGTGTCCCACCGCAGCCTCGCCGTGCCCTCCCTTTTCCTGTGCCTTACCAATCCAGTGGTGCTGTCTCTGCTCACTTCCTCCCCTCCTGGCTCCGCCTGTCTGCCCTCAGCCACCACTTGGATCCGGGTAAGCCTTCCCTTATTGCGATTTTCTTTTTTCCTCTTCTCCTGCTCCCCTTCACCCAGTTGGAGTAGTACCACAACCACTCTTGCTAAAACAGGACAGCAACACTGTTTTGCCGATCCACAAATTAAAAAAACAAAAAAAGTGTAAAGCTGACACACAAAAAATGTAAAACCTGTGAGTTTATAAAGCCAGCAGGCAAAATGTTGTCCTTCAGATAACTCAACAGCTTCATCGTGCTTGGATCCATAGTTAACACCCTTGGTACGAGCAGTCAGTAAATAAATAAGGAGATGCATTGCAGTTGGAAAGTCTGCATTTAGGAACCTTTCCAAATTATTGAGGAGGACCAATGTCAGTTTAAGGACTGGGGTGCATCTGATTCAGGCCGTAATCTTCCATGCAAGACCTGAACAATGAATAAGGATCACAGAAAAAGAATTGATGCCTTTGAGCTGTGGAGAAGAGCACTGAACATCCCATGGACAGCCAAGAAAACAAATAGATATGTCTTAGAGAGGGCGCAGCCAGAGTGCTCTTTGGAGGCAAGAATGATGAGGCTTCACCTCACATACTTTGGACCTACTGCTAGGAGGTGCTATTCCTTGGAGAGGGACATGATGCTGGGAAGGGTGGAGCATTGGCAGAGGGGAGGAAGACCCTCACCAGGTGGACTGACACGGTGACTGCTGCAGTGGGCTCTTGTGTGTCAGGAAGCGTGAGGATGGCGCAGGACAGGACCAGGTTCAGACCTTTCGTTCGTAGGGTCACTGTGAGTCATACTCAACTCGATGGAACCTCACAGCAACAGCAAATAACTCAGGAAATTGAGGCTTTTTAAAATAAAAGTAATACTAAATGGTTACAATTTTTCCCCTCTTAGATAAATTATGATTACCGGTTCTGTTGATGTGATTCAGCAGAGCTTTGAGAGCAAGAAATGGGCCCTCCTCCCATTGTCTTTACATCCTCAGCCCACCAGAAGGTCAGCTGTGAGTCCGCTCCAATTCAGTAACAATGAGAGCGAGAATCGGGATCATGTGTAGACGAGACCACTATTGGAAATTTCTGTAAACTGTTTGAAATAACCAAATTGAGTACTCTTGAAACCCTGAAGAATGTCTTCCTACCTCAGTGATTGCTGGACTTGGTTAAAAGAGATAGACTTTATCTTGTGAGAAAGAGAATGGATTTTCATTGTATGATTTGTTTTGAATACCTAAGTGCAAGAAAACTTTCCCTTGCTCACATTATGTTTGAATGTCTCTTTATCAATAAATTCCATCTTCGCCTTTAACTCGCAAGGACCTCTAAAAGCTGATGTCTTTAGGATGCAAATTTTCTTTCACATTTTAGGACAAGTTATTCTTGCAGGCTTGTTCAGCAGCTATTATAAACCTGTTTACAGTTAAAACCACACCTCTGACCTAGACCCAAGCATTGCAATAAGGCAGTTGTCGCAATAAGGTAGATGTTTGATGTTGACCCGAATTCAGCCTCTGATATTTTAAACTAATGAGCTCTGAAAACGCAAACAGTTGTAACTAATGAGCTCTGCAGATACACAGGACATGATTAGGGGAAATGAGAATCACAGGGGAGAAGTGGGGAGAGTGTGGCTACCTGGTAAGTAGTGATATGAAACCAACATGGGTGAGTAGAGAACTGGAAGACCCGTTTCCTTTGTAAATTTACAGTGAGAATAATCCCCTGCTAACCAGTCACTTCTGACTCCTGGCTGCCCGCCATCGAGTTTCTGAGGTGTAAGTCCTCACAGGAAGAGGCTGCCTCCTCCTTTTTTCTCTCTCTCTCTCTCCCTGTAGAGAGGTTGGTAGATTTGAACTGCCAACCTTTCAACCTTTCCATTACCAGTTCAACATGTTACACTCTCAACCACCACGGTTCCTTATATACTGAGATGTAAGTTTAAATACTCCTGCCTCTACCTTAAGGGTACTTTCCTTGCAATAATACTTACAATAAAAAGTAATTATAAATAGATCATAGGTAGATATGTAAGCTCAACAGATGTGGGAACGTGAGTGGGACTGCATTTTATTATTTTTTAAAGTTTTGCCCGTACATTCCTGTTCATAGAAAAAATGCAAGGATAGTAGAACCTGCCACTGTGGGTGACACTGAAAATCTCCAAGTCCTTTCCCAGCACCATAGGGAGCACTGGTGGCCTAGTCGTAAGGAGCTGCGCTGCCAGCCCAAAGGCATGTGGTTCGAATCCACCAGCTGCTCCACAGGAGAAAGATGAGCAGTCCTCCTCATGAAGTTTCCGGCCTCTGAAAACCTGCTGGAGGATCAGCTGTGCGTTGGTCCTGCATCAGTGACACCCATCAGCAAATAGCCAAACACCTTCAACATCACCAGCCTTGGAGATACTGGGCCATGGTCTCTGGCGACATCTAGTTCAGTTGAAACATCTTTGTTCACACCGGTAGTGTTCTGCCCTACCTACCCAGTGACTGGGTCCTGAAAGCTTAAAATGATAGTGACAGAGCATAGGCACGTCAGAAGAGGTTGTAGGGAGGTGTCCTGACTTACGTGGAGCAACTCACAGTTCCACAGATCAGAGTCTGTCATTCAGAACAGCTCACGGGACATAGACCTTGTCTAAGGGGTTCAAGTTTATTTCCTTGAGGACTTGCTATTTCTTGTTAAGTAATCCCAGTCACTCATTTTTTGACTTGTTTTTTCCATATTAATTCACACATTTAACCTGGAATGAAAGTAACTCCAGTTTACAGAAAAGACTACAAAAGTCACTACCGAGATGCAAGCAAGTACATTGGATAGTAAGTAGTCGGCATTTCCATAGCACATGTATTTTATATGATGCCCCTAACAGCTTGCCCTGTATGACAGAGCATTCCATGTTGATTCAGAAACTCAAACTCATTGCCATCGAGTCAGGAATGACTCACAGCTGACCCTCCAGCGGGTTTTCAGAAGCGGTTCACCGCAGGGGAGGTGATGATGCGTCCTCCATCCCCTTCCGCAGAGCCGGTGAATTCAAACCACATGTCTTTGGGTTGACAGTGTCACTTCTTACCCACCAAGGGCACCAGAACACCCTCCAGGTAGACTAGTAAGAAGCTGCTCTGCAATCCCAAAAGTATGTGGTTCAAATCCACCAGCTGCTCCGTGAGAGAAGGATGGACAGTCTCCTCCCATGTTTTCCCATCTGAAAACCCAATTGTGGGTTTATTGTGAGTTCTGATGCGATAGCACATATCAGCAATGTGAATATGTGTGTGGAGGTGTGAATTTTTAGTATCTGATAGTGTTTATTAAACCTTCCTCAAATCTAGACCAAATTATCCCAGAGAAGTTATTGTTTGGTTACGCTATATTTGGCAATTACCCCTGAACAAAAACAGATATATCTGAGTGAAGACATATTGGCTATTCCAAATGAAATGAAATTCTAGATGAATTTGAAAGCTAAGAGGTGGAACTTAATGCAAGAGCCACTTACTGGAATGTATGTTCAAGGACAGGCAAACAATGTGAACGAAGTAGGATTTTGTAAACTTGAATCTGATCAATGGGAGTAGACTTGAGAAATGCCAAGTAGTTATAATACACTAGTATGACATCATTGGTCAGGTTAAGTGCAGTATAAAAAAGGGAAGGGATGGACTCAAGACTTGAGATGGCTGTGGGGGTTATTTTAGGGACTTGGCGATCAAGGATCATTAGTGAAATGCCAGGTTCTTGGGATTTCGAGCCCGAGTGAGTAAGAGAGTTTGGGGACTGACGGGAAGCCTTGAGCAGCATACACGGAAATGTTGAAGAGACAGACTGCCCGCTCTTTAAACTCAGATCTCATTGCTGTTGAGTTGGACCCAACTGCCGGCTGACCCTCAGCCCAGCTGGAAATCGCACAGCAGGAGGAGACTGAATGTCCATCGCTCTCCCTTGGAGCTGCTGGGGGTCAGAGCTGCCCGTGGCTTGGAGAGCAGCTGCCTGTGGGCTCCAGCACCAGTGCTCTGCACACGACTCAGGCGGCACTGGAGCCTGCCTTTCAGATAGCAAGGACTCCGTGTTTACCGAGTTAGACGATGTGACCTAACTCCTTTCAAAGTCATGATTTTAAAATAAGGAAAATGACGGAATAAGCTCACCTGAAAATGGCTTTCCTCTTTAGCAGGATTCATCCCAAGGTTCATTTTAATACCTCACTTTTTAATTCTCGAAGAGGATGTCATTTATCACAGTTTGATAGTGTGGCTTGTTTACATCTATTGAGTTACCTGCATTCAAATTATCTTCTTCCAGAGCAAAGAATGCTATGGGGGAAATTCATTTTGAAATACATTAGCAGTAAGAATCTTATTCATGAAGAAAAATTAAGCTTCAGTAACCCTCTGTATACATTGTACCCTGTGACAGTCAGGCTTCTGTGTTTGGGTTTGACTGTTTCACAGTTTTCGACGTTTTCTTTCCCCCTGCTCCTCTGCAGGTGTATTTAGCCAGAAAGGAAGGCACATCCTCGGCTTACATTTCCTGGAAGTTTGAGTGTGGATCAGTCGGTCTCATCATAGACAGCATTTCTGTCCGGACAAGTAGTCAGACCTTTGAGACGGGCTCCGTGCAGTGGAGACTGCGCTCGGATGAGGTGCAGGTGGAACTGGAGGGAGGTAAGGAGGTGACGGGACACGTGAGCTCTGGGAAGAGGAAGTGGAGTCATTTAAGATACAGCTCTGACGTCTTCATGCTTAAGGGTGATTCCGAGGGCTGAAGTAAAAGCTGAAAATTCAAAAACTGATGTAACCTCATGACAGAGCTGATGTTGTTATAAAGCAAATACAAAGAGAAGCGATTTCTTTCTCTCTCTCCCCCCTTCTCTCTTTCTCCCTCT